GCAGATTTTTCGAAACAGAGGCGTTATTTAACTCTAAAAGAAGTTGTGAATCGAAATCAGAAGGCATATATCGCAGTAAATAAAGTAAAAACAGATCAAATACAAGATTTGACTCAAACTTCTCGGAAGTTCTACAGTCATGTAAATTTTGAAGATAATGTTGACAATTACCATGGACTTTGAAACCTAATGAATAAAATCAATGGAAAGTATTCAATACTGTTTTATTAGAAGTAGCGTTTTGTTCAGGAAATAGAGGATTTCTATTTGAAAACACCTATATTACTACAACTATCTTATAGATAATGAGTTATTGATTTTTTTAGTAGACAATTGGAAGTAGATATAAGTTTATAAATGAATTTCAAACTAAACTAATAAACCAACTCACTTAATATTTTTGTGCTTATAAACTTTACTTAGGTGATTTATCGAAAGCACCATCAGTTCATATATTGTTCTTCTTTTCTAATCTACCAAATAGTATTCGACCATCAATATCATTCATCAAAAATTTGTTAACCTCCCTATCTGACTTCATTTGGTCCATTGTACAGAAGATTGTATGTACCATTATAATTGAGATTGTTGTTTTATGCTGTCCAACAACTATATTGGATGGAATTTATTAATGGCATTCTAAGTAAAAATACTTTTTTACTTTTTTGAGACAAATTTTTCCCCAAATGAAGGGAAATCAGAAGGGAAATTTTTATAATAAAAAAAAAGTAAAATACTTAAATATGATAAATTCCGGAAAACCAAAGAGGAATAGCAGAGGAGAGGTCGTAAAGGATGCAGTCTTCCAATCTACAAAAACTCCAGATTCTAGAATCGAGCCACTTCGTTCTTGGTTTTGTGATACGAAAATCGTCAGTCAGAATGAGTTGGAAAAGTATAGAAACTGTATTCAGACCAAAAATCCATACGAAGTTCTTCTAAGTACAGGAAATGTTCCATATTCTCTCATTAACAATGATGTGAAAATAAAGAAAAAGTATGATTTCTCCAATTCATTTGGGAAGACATCAAATCCTAGAAAGCCAAAACTTAGTGTGTCTTCAATTGAAGAGCTGAAAATAAGATCAGAAAATATGCTAAAAGAGCATCGAAGTGTTTCCAAGGAGTCTTCGATTGATGATTTAACCACCAAAAAGGTAAAGGGCCAAAGCCATAGGATTTGGAATGAGCTTTACAAAGTTCTTGATTCTTCAGATGTAGTAGTGCATGTGTTGGATGCAAGAGATCCAATGGGAACGATGTGTAAACAGATAGAGGAATATATAGATACAAAGGCCAAGCACAAGCATTTGATGTATGTATTAAACAAAGTTGATTTAGTACCGACTTCAGTAACAGCAGCATGGTTGAAGTTTCTAAGCAAATCCCACCCTGTTGTGGCATTCCATTCAAATTCACTCGAATATAATTATGGAAAGACCAACCTCCTCAATATTTTCAGGCAACTTAAAACACTCTATAAAAAGCCAAGTATAAGTGTAGGATTTGTTGGTTATCCAAACTCTGGAAAGTCTAGTATTATTAATGCTCTTCGTGATAAGAAAGTGTGTTCTGTCGCACCAGTGGCAGGACAGACTAAAGTATGGCAATATATTACCTTGATGAAGGATCTTTATTTAATAGACTCTCCTGGTGTTGTTCCGATCACCGATCTCAGAGATGCTGTATTACATGGGGCTATTCGGATTGAAAGTATAGAGGATCCAGACATCTATATTTCCGATATTGTTGAAAAGGTAGGTAAGGAGGCTATTGAAGCCATTTATAGAATACAAATTACTAGTATTGATGATCTATTTGTAAAAATGGCAAAAAGATTTGGGAAGGTTATCAAGTGTGGAGAACCTAATGTGGATTTGATTTCCAAGATGATTTTGCATGATTGGTTGCGTGGAAAAATTCCATTCAGCTCACTTCCCCCGGAAAACTAAGTATTTCCCGAAGCACACAATTTTTTACATCAGGGTTACCAGTCTGTTAATTGAAATAAATTATAATTCTAAAAATTGTCCAGATTCTCGTATTTTAACAGTATTGTTATATAATATGGATACAAATCGAATTTCATCTCTTATGATTTAACAATTTATTTAATGATTATGGTTGATCTACATATTGTTTTATCTTAGGTTATAGTATCTTGCGTGCTCCTGTAGCTCAGTGGCCAGAGCGCGGTACTTATAAGTTGAAAAACTATGATGATCAGCAGAGTTATGCTGAGGACGCGGGTTCGAACCCCGCCAGGAGCATTTTTGCTCTAACACATTATTATTTTACATATTTGTCTCTAAAATTACTTTAGTTTATATTTTAGGATGCTTGAACAAAATCTTTACAAAATTCTCTAATTCATTTAATTTTCAATCTCATCAATACCAACTTCCTGGTACTGTTGATATTCACTCAATAAATCCTGTAAGTTGGACTCTGCTTCTGCAAATTCTACTTCATCCATTCCCTCACCAGTATACCAGTGCAAGAAGGCCTTTCTTCTGAACATCGAGGAGAATTGATCTGCAACTCTTTTAAATAATTCTTGGATTGATGTGGTATTACCAATAAATGTAGCTGACATGTCTAATCCAGTTGGAGGAACATTGCAGACCGCTGTCTGGACATTGTTTGGAATCCACTCCACAAAGCAATCGGAATTTCGTGTTTGAATGGTATTCATCTGTTCTTCCACATCCTTCATGGAAATCTTTCCTCTGAAGACTGCAGCTGCTGTTAAATATCTACCGTTCTTTGGATTACAGGCAGTCATCATGTTTCTCGAATCAAACATCTGGGCAGTTAATTCATTTACAGAGTAGGTTTTGAATTTCTGGCTAGCCTCTGCAAAAAGAGGTGCATATCCCACACAGAAAAAGTGAAGACGCGGAAATGGGATCATATTTACTGCCAGCTTTCTCAAATCAGAATTAAGCTGTCCTGGAAATCTTAAACATGTGGTAATACCACTCATAACGGATGATACAAGGGAATTGAGATTGTCATAACCAGGTGTTTTTAATTTTAGAGTATTATGGCAGATTTCATATAGGGCATCGTTATCAATGCAAAATGTCTCATCGGCATTTTCTACTAGTTGATGAATACTCAGTGTAGCGTTATATGGTTCTACAACTGCATCACTAACTTTTGGCGATGGAACTACTGAGAATGTGGCTAGCATCCTATCTGGAAACTCCTCTTTGATTTTAGAAACCAATAAGGTGCCCATACCACTTCCTGTACCACCACCAAGAGAATGTGTTAGCTGGAAGCCCTGTAAGCAATCTGTTTTCTCTGACTCCTTCCTAATTACATCCAATACCTGATCAACTAACTCTGCACCTTCTGTATAATGGCCCTTGGCCCAGTTGTTACCTGCACCACTCTGCCCAAAAATAAAATTGTCTGGTCTGAATAACTCTCCATATTGGCCACTTCTTACTGCATCCATAGTACCAGGCTCTAAATCTACTAACACTGCCCTTGGGACATATTTCCCTGACGATGATTCATTATAATAAACCTCAACTCGATCTTTCTGGAGATCACTGACCCCTTGATACAAACCAGCTTCGTTCACACCATGCTCTTGGGAGATAGTCTCCCAGAATTTAGTACCGATTTGGTTTCCACATTGACCGGCTTGGATATGAATAATTTCTCTCATTGGGGTAAAAAATTTATGGAAAAAAAAGGAATATAGAGCAAGACACAAAAATATAAAAGATTTGGACTGTTGTATCAACTATTTGAGTTTATTAATTACATCTTCCTTAAATTCATCGGATAAATATTCTCGATCATTTGTAGTTGGTTTTAGCATTTCCAAGGACAATACCTTATCAATTTCAAAGGCATATTCTTCCAACCTTTTCTTTTTGTAACCTTTACCAACAACAACAATTTTGTGGCCTGTGTTACAGAAGTATTTAAATATTTCATATTCCCCATAGGAATACTTTGAACTTTGAGTATCGAGTGCAGCATATCCAAGCAAGAAAGGTAGGGGCTCATCAGAATCTGCTGTAATGGTTTTGCTTTGTGATATCTGGTTACCAGAGTTTCCTGCTGTCGGATCTAGTTCACATTTAAAAATTAACTGGTCCAATTCATTAACAATCAAAATCATGGGGGATAAGAAATATATCTCATCTCATCACAACTCTATCCATAGCATATCATCTATCATAAACACATTAATAATCATATCTTTCCTCTTATTTATCCCTTTCTCATGAAAATTATTTTTAATGGTGCTAGTGAAGATTCACTCAATAACAATCCACTTACACTCAATCTTCCCAAATGTACATTGAATGAGATTATTCACTATATTTATACAAATGTAGAGCCGTCAAGAAAGAGCTTCTTTGGAGTTGGTGGGAAGTTGGCTAATGGCACACTGGTAATAGTAAATGGAAGACAATCGGATTTACTAGAGAAGAAGGAACTTATAGATGAAAGTAGCGAAATAGTACTGATATCTACTTTACATGGAGGATAAAGATAATGCCATAATAAATTACAAGCCTATGAAGAATTGTTATTGTTTAAAATTAACCATATATTCATAACATGTGGATAATTTTCCAAACTCAAAACCCCCAGTATTTCACAAAGCCAATGGTTATTATCTGTCCTTTCGAAAATTGTACTAAATCGTTTCCCTGCAATGCAAAGCTAGAAGATCACTTAAATGTGCATATGAAGAATCGGCCGTTTCAATGTAATATTTGTTCTTTGAAATATTGTTCCAAAAAAGCACTAAATGTGCATTTAAGTAAAATTCATAGAATTAGTAGTACTAAAACAAATGGATCCCAAGATAAGTCAGCCATATTATCGTTGGATGATTCAACTCAACCAGAAAAGCCTTTAATGTTGCTTCAAAACAAAGACACTTCTACAACTACAAGAAACAATTACATATTTGCCTGTAAGAACTGCAATAAATCCTATTTTTATAAGAGCTCCCTGATTAGGCATAGATGCATAAATAAACAAAGTTGTGAAAATTGTGGAAAAGTTTATCAGCGAGAAAAATTATTAACTAAGCATTTAAAAATTTGTAAAGGAGAGGAGTTAGTAAATAATACTATTGAGAAAAACGATATAGACACATATGTCGAAAACAGACCATATCACTCTCAAAACTATCAATCTACCAAAACTATCAAAATGAATATAATAAACTCCAATTCAAAAGATTCTTTTTCCTGTGATTTATGTGGTATGAAATATAAAACGGCTTATGCTCTTAACTATCACAAGAAAGTAGAACATGAGGGATTTAGACATATCTGTGATAAATGTGGCAAGCAATATAGATATAAGAAGAGTTTAAAAAAGAACCATAGATGTGGGTAATATATACAATGAGAAAGTTGTTTAGAGTACTGGCTGTTTGTAATGTGAGGTTCATCGGACATAAAGCCTAATAGTTACCCAATTAATAATTAACTAGAATTAAAAGAAATCCATGCACTATCATTATTTTTACACATTTAAAGAGAATAAAAATAAAGGTTTTCTACAATACCTGTTTTAAACAAAATATAAGGATTTAGGACTCTTTGCCATTGCAATAGTTTATTCATATTGTTCTATATTTACAATATCAATCTAATAAGCAATTTGCAGTACTTGTTTTCGTAGCATAAGTGTTATGCATCAATTTCATGTTATACTTGCATCCTTCTATGAGTCTCCAGGTTTCATTGATTATAAACAATCTTTTGAGCCATCTGGCTGATCTTCATTCTTAACTCATCCTTATAATCTTCTGGTGTTCCATTATATCTGAATAATGATCCCTCTTCACAAACATACACTTCATTGAAGCATTCTTCTAAAAATGTCATATCGTGGCTAACACATATTACTGCTCCTTTGTATTCATTAATAGCCTCACTAAGAGCAGAGATGGCCACAATATCCAAATGATTTGTTGGTTCATCCAATATCAGCAAATTACTAACATCCATTCTGGCAAATGCCAGCCTGCTTTTCTGTCCACCTGAAAGGGTAGAGATTTGCTGATTATTGATTAATCCAAAATTACTCATTCTTCTCCTCGATTCTTCGAGTGGATAGAATTGCATGAGATAAGTAACGGCATCCATCGACATATTTAGTTGATCTATATGATGTTGCGCAAAATAAGAAATTTTACAATCGGGATTAACAATAACAGAATTCCTATTGAATTTAGGACCATTAGAAAATGTTGTTTTGTCGGTATCCATACTATTGGCCTTGCACTTTCCATCATCAGTAATCTGCCCACTTAGTAATTTCAGTAATGTGGATTTACCTTGCCCATTCTCTCCAACTATTACAATTCTGGAATCCGAGTTAATCTTAAAATCAACATTTTCAAATATCGTCCTATTTCCATAAGAATAGGATGCATTTCTCAATTCTATTACCAATTCGGATGATAATTTGTCCGATTGAAATCTAAATCTCAGCTTATGCTCCACTTTAGGCATTTCCAACTTTTTCATCTTTTCTAATACTTTCATTCTACTTTGGGCTTGAGAACTTCTGGCTGCATTTGCCCGAAATCTATTTATAAAGCTCATAAGATGCTCTATCTCCGCTTGTTGTTCATTGTATAGCTTAATCTGATTGTTGATAATATCATCATATTGCTTTAGAAAAGCATCATAATTTCCCTTGTAAAGGGTAACTTTACAGTTATCAAGGTGAAGAATGGTATCACAGGTTGAATTTAAAAAGTGTTTGTCATGAGAAACAATAATCACGGTCTTTAGATTTTTTACAAATTCCTCCAAAAAAGTAATTGTTTCGATATCCAAGAAATTAGTGGGCTCATCCAACAAAAGCAATTCTGGGTTCTTGTGTATAGCTTTGGCCAACTGAACTCTCATTCTCCAACCACCTGATAGATCATTGATTGATGTATTATAGGTTGGTGCTTTTGAAGAAATGCCGACTTTATCACATCCCATACTATCATGGCCATTTGTTAATGGTATAAATCCCAACAGTTGTAATGCCTTACCTCCATCCATACCAACATATTCTATCACTGTTTTATTGGAGTTAAATTCTTGCTTGATTAGGTGAACTCTCATGGCTTTTGGAATTCCAAATTGCTTTTTTCTTAATGCCCTAAGAAGAGTTGTTTTTCCTGCCCCATTCTTCCCAACTAATCCGTATTTTCTATTTTTAAATAATTTAACTTGTGAATCATCTATAATTTGCTTTCCATTTACGAACAAGTCCATATCCAGATCAAAGTAATCTAAAAGTTGGTCGTTATGCCCATCATCAATTTGATCAGATGATGAATCCTCAGATGCACTGTCTTTAATGTTTGTCTCTTCTTTTGGGAATACAGTTTTTGTAATGGCTTTTCTATTTCTTCTACTCTTTACAACAGACGGCTTTTTAGCTTCAAGTACGGTTTTGAGTTCAGAAGTATCGAAAGCATCTTTTTTTCCAGTCTGCTCTTTACTACCCATTTCTAAAGGGCGATCTGATAAAATTTTAAAATTTTGAAAAAATGCACATAAAATGTAATTTAAAAACAATCATATGTGAGTTGATTTTATAGGAACTTTTGGATTGACTTATAATGTCAATCAATATTTAATATAAATGGATATTGCATTTCTAATTGATGGTTGTATAAATACAGATTTAAAGGAACTACTATTGGTAATATTTTTAATAAATCATATTTACTAAATAATTTTTTGTTTTATACTTCCAATCCTTTGATCAGAGTTAATAATATTTTATAATTTGGTTAGTTTTTAAGGAGTAAGGTATCTTTTTACATCTCATTTATCATAAAAGCACCAATCGGTGTCATCAGGATTGTATCAAATTGTAAAAGATTCTTATGATGTACAAGCCAGTATAAAGATGTTTAAATGAAAACATTGTTCGGATAAATATGCAATCATATTCTTCTATCTATATCCAATTTCTTTAGTTTTTCAGTAAAATTTTTAAAACTACCCCTTCGATCAAAATGACTAAAGATATCCTTATGGCCATAAATAAAATTAGGAAGCTGTGTATTCGCCAAATTTCTGACTCCACAATTAAGAACTCTTCATTATATACAAAGTATACTTCCGGTGACTTATCTGAATGTGATATTATCTATTCCAATGAGGATTCTGCATTGAAGGCTTATTTTTATAACGAAAAGTACAACATAATAGATTTTTTGCATGTTTTGAGGGAACAAGAATTAAACAATATGAATTACAACATTGTAAAGGGATATTTGAAGAGAGAAAAACGAGAGGTTATTGATGAGTTCTGCAAGTTTCCAACCTCTTCAAAACTATTTATGAATGTGGATGATCAGAATTTGTGTTCAAATGGAAACATCTTGCTTGAAGATATTATTTATAGGGTAATGCATGGCGAGATATATAAATTTCGAGGATGGGATAATGAAATAATTGAACGGGGCTATAAGTTAGCTTCAAAGATTATGAGTTGTAGATCCTGTGATCCATCTGATACTGATATAAATAATGGGTTGTTCAAGAAATGTAGTAGTGAGAGTTTACAAGATGACAAGTATAATTTACTCCTTTTCGATGAATTTTTCTTTCTCGGGATTGCGATAGATTCACTTACAGATTTGATCAATTCCAATATTTTCAATATATTTGTTCAATTTAATTCAAGAATTTTAAATGTGTGTCCAGAAACCATGCAGAAGTCTCACTTAACCTCCCAAAATGCCCAATGGCTAATTGAAGATGACCATTTAAAGAATGTGAATGAGTTAGTATTTCTGGAAAATGAGGCCAATTATAATGATACATTTGATAAAGTACCATTCAAAAATTCTGCAAATCCAGTGTCCCTTCTGAAATCTCCCATTGATCTCCTGGAGCTTGTATACTATATTGCTATCAGATTCAATAACTATAAATACCTTGCAAAAATACCCAGTAAATCATTTTTATTAAGAATGGTAGTTGCATTGGGAGATGATTTTGAAAGATGGCAATACTTAAACGACTTGTTGGCAGTGAATGATGCAACTATTATTGATGTAAGCAGTTTGGAAAATATTATCAATAATAATCTAAATGTAATTTCTTTGTTCCAGAATGGTCTCTCGGAGGAAATTTGGAGTTTTCTATATGAAGCAGTGAAGTCTTATTACAAGGCTGATAAACAGATAAATAACTTAAGACTTAATTTGTCCACGAAAGATCTTTTAAACGAAATTAAAAACAAAGATAATTCATTTATCAAAAAGATACTTTTATTCCAAGAGTTTTGTAAAAAGGAATTTGTTGAAGAAACAAGAGTCGCCGGCAAGCATGATGGTCTAGTACCACTCGGTGATTTGTTGGATTTACCAGAAAGATTCTTTTATTTGGGACTTACAAATATTAACTCTGATATCACAAATTTATTAAAAGATTTCAATAAAAATCTGATATTTGATAGAAAAAAGTTGGAAATTTTCCAAAAAATCAAACAAATCAACAAGTTGGGAATATTTACAAGATATTTAATAAAGAGAAATATTATATATGAAAACAGAGATGGAGAGTTGTTTGAAGAATTTATGAGAATATTAAGATATAATCATGAATTGAATTTATGTCAATCTTCCAATGGTATATCTATGTCTATACATGAAGATAATAGTCCAAGTGGGTTAATGAGTGAGGAATATAAGGGCAGATTGACAAAAATGTACAGCAAACTAGGATTTACTATAGATGCTGAAAGCATTGGCTTGAAACCTAAAACTGAAAGCAATGGTAATACATTGATAAAGGATGGAATCTTTTCTACTTGTAATTTCTATGTAAATTTTAAGAAATGGCAAAAGTGTTTAGAAAATATTTTTAATAGTCATATGTGCTTATTAGTTGAATCTGATGGATTTGGATCTCAAAGAATATTTATGTCACAAGCTGAGTATACTCGATCGCAAATGGGACAAGAATCAAGATTGGGAAAAAAAATTAAATATTCGGAACAAGGTGTATTTGAAAAGATTTATAATCAATATATTTTGAGGAAAGGTGATGGAATTGATGATACAATTAAAAATCAAATGGATTATAGAAATATACCGAATTTTGACAATATTCTAACCGGTTTATTCAAAAGTCTGCATGGTAGTAAGAATATGAAGTATCTACTGCAGTTTATTAGGGATATCTGCTATTACAATGAAGTGTCATATGAAGATAACAAAGAAATATTTAATCAACTTATTAAGATCGACGATCGACTGGTTAAAACCCTTACAGATAGTAAAATCCAAGAAGATAAGGAAAAGCATCACTCTGGTTTAATGTATATTATAATTTTATGCGAGGATGTACAGATGATTATTAATGAATACTCAAACAGATATAATGAAATATTTGAAGCCATGAGGTTAAAGTTGATTGGAAAATGTTTAAAAAATCAATCTGAAGATACAGAAGTACACCAATCTACTAATCAGCCATTGATAACTGCCTTAGAAAAGTCTGTTGTGCAATTTTTTAAATGTATTAAGGGTATGTGTGATAATAGTGATACAAATATTAAAATCATCGGAGTCAAATTGTATTGTTGGATTATTTATGAGAAGTTTTACGATTACAAAGTACAGGATAGCACAATTGAAATACTACGAGACAATATGGTAATTTTGAAGGAAATAGATTTTTTTGATTTAATACAATCCTCTAATGACATTGTATTAACTGAACTAATATCTGTACTAGGAGCATTTAGCCAGGATTGTTTTATTCTGCAGGTTGGATCTGATGAAAGAATCAAGGAAAGGGACCCATCAACTATAATTAGGCTTAATTCTGTTCTACTAGATATTCTATTCAAAAGAGCTACCTTGGATGATCTTAACTGTCTTATTCTTTCGAAGTTGAACAGGGAATATATCTCTGATATTGATTATCAGAGAATCTACTCTATGTTTTATTTAAATCCTCTGAAATATATAAAATATGAAATATACAAATTTGGATTTGTCATAGACGATCATATGATTGCTGAGATGATCAAATGCCTAGGCAGTGTCTATGATGATATCCTATTTGACAATATGGTTAAATTAATTGAAAGTAATACCGAAGCAATGGTTTTTGATAAACTAAAGATAATATCATCGAATGATGTAGATGAAAATATATACAACGAGAGAAAGGAGATACACAAGCGAGATTTTATTAAGGAGGCAGAGAACTCTTCCAAGTCTCGTGTGTTCAAACTGCATTCCGAATTATTGGTTGATAATATTTCAACTAAAAATATTCTATTTAAGACCTGGATTGTCAAGAGTATTGATCTGTCAATTTTCAATTTGAAAGACTTCGTAAAAGCTTGTCTCTTTATTTCTAACGAAGAAGATCTATTTATAATTAGAATCTTATTGATAAAATTGAAAAACTCACAGCTTTGTAAAAAATTTGATATTGTGAATTCCTGGCTGAAAAACCCTAAGCTAAAGGTATTGATCAGGAGGATTTATCCTTGTATTACAACAAATAAAACTATGTATGGCAAACTATTAGAGGGATGTGAGGAAGGAGAGTTGGGGATGCTTAATGAAGTATATCCAGAAATGGAAATAGTTTAATAAACTGATTTTGGTTCAAAAAGTGAGAAAATAGTTTGTTCCAGGTTAGGAAGAAAATTTAACAATAAATATTCCATTCAATTACATTGTCGATAAAAGTGACATTTTTAACAAATATGCTTTTGATCATCTAAATTAAAATTTGAGCCGCTATTATTCAGATAGACGAATCTTGATAATAATTCATAATTTAAAGTTTATTTAAACTTATCGATTTAAATCTCTTGTCTCCTTTATAAAGTTTTTATAAAGGAGCTATTTAAGGAAATGAATCTATTAAGCCCCAATGAAAAGTTCTACAAATCAACTTCTTTTACTGTTTGTAGGGTATATTTTCGCATCAGCTACATCGAGTGATGAACAAAAATCTTATAATTACTACAGAAAATTCGATGTGAATCTTAAAGAAACAGATTCTATAGGTAAAGATGACTGTCCATGTGTGAAGTTATTAAGTCAAATCACATTAATTCGACAGAAAAATGGTACAGATATATTCGAAATATATTGTAACCTGAATGATTTTGTGAAAAATATTCCATCACAAGAGGGATCGAAAAAGGACTTTATCCGTATTTGTAATAAGTGTAGAAGCCAAATTCCCCTGTTCAAAAAAATATTTGACATGGCCTATGAACATGA